CCCTCCCCCCCCGCAGCCCCTCGGAGGCTGGACAGACTGACAGGTGCATAAACGGATGGACAGACAGATGGACCTCCCTACCGTGGCCACGAGGTAAGGAGCAGGGGCTGTCGAACTTACCCCGTGGTGGGAGCAGAAAAGCTGAGCTGCCCCCCATCTTCCATCTCCTCTTCCTTGTCCTCTTTCTCCATGGGGGGCTGTGCTGGAGGATCTGGTGGGGGCTCCTCAGCCTCCTCCATGGCTGCCGGTGCGCTGGGGCCTGGTGCTGCCACTTCCCCCTGTCGGCTTCCTGCCACCTGCGGCTGCGCGCTCCCCTCCTGTGCCGTACTGGGGGCCGCGCCGGAGGGCAGGCCAGGTGCTGGGGAGCTGGGGGGCTGCTCCATCTGTGGGGCCAGCACCCCCCAGAGCCTGGAGGGGTTTATCAGCCGCGCAGCCTGTGGGTCTGGGAGGCCTGGGGTTGGGGGCACATCAGATTCACATCCCCTTGCTTAGTTTCACACCCCTCCCCAGTCAGTTTCAACCCCCCTTGGGCAGTTCCTCCCCATCCCCCACCCCTGGTTAATTTTACCTCCTTGGGCAGTTCCAGGTCTGGGCATTTTCATCCCAGCTTTGCCTCAGATGAGGTGGGCAGGGGGCCTTGGGCACCCCTGGGGGTTGAAGGGCAGGTGGCTGGTGCCTCATTTTCCCCAGGGATCCCCACCCTGGCACTCACCTGCCTCCCTGTGGCCTGTGGGGGTCCCAGGGCTGGCGTCCACCTGCAGCTCCTGGAAAGCAATGGCAGGGGGCAGTTCTGGGCTGGGGGGGAGCAATTCTTAGCTCCCAGGGAGTAGTTACTGACTTGGGGGAGCAGTTACAGCTCTGGAGGGCAGGTGCCAAGCACTCGGGGGACATGCACCCTCAGACGCACACAAACCCACAGAACCCAGGTGTGTGGGACTGACCTGCACAGAATCCTTGGGGGGTCCTGCTGGGAGCTCCTCCCCTTGCCCCCATGCCCCACCCACTTGTGGGGCGTCTGCCAGGCCCTGCGCTGGGTCCTCTGGGGGGTGAGGGCGGTAGGCGGGCACTCCCCACCCTGCCTGTTGGCTGGGGCTGGTACCCATGTGGGGTGCGTGGAAGAGTGGGTTGGTGTGGAAGAGCTGCTCCAGCTCCTCCTCCTCCTGCTCCTCCATGCCCGAGCTGCCTTCCTCCTCCTTATTCTCATCCTCATCCTCCTCTTCCGCCTCATCTTCCTCTTCCATGCTGGCTGGGGGGCCCAGGTGCAGGGGCTGCTGGGATACCTCCATGGCGTTCTGGAGGTCCAGCACACAGAACTGGGCCTGGGCCAGGCTGGCCTGTAGCAGGGCCTCGGCCGTGAGGGCCGGGTGAGGAGATCCCCCCATTCCTGGCCCACTTGGGGCATCCCCCATGGGGCCGGCTAGGCCACAACGGGGCTGTGGGGCAGCTCCATGGGGCCTGCAAAGCAGAGACCATGAGGTTAAATCGGGGGCGGGTCCCATGCTGAGGCAACAGGGCTGGTATTCCCCACCAGCTGCAGCGCAGTCCGTGCCTCAGTTTCCCCCTGTGTGTGTGTCCTGGATGTCTGGGTTCCCTGCTCATGTGTGTGTTGGCCTGTGTCCATCTGTCCATCCAAGGTTGGGTGTGTGTCCACTGAGGTAGCCTGTCTTGTCTGTCTGTCTGTCTGTCTGCCAAAGGTGTCTTGTGGGGGGTGTATTTCAGTTCCCGCTGTGGGTAGGGGCGGATGTCTGTTTGTGTGTCTGTCTCTGGCATGTGCGAGTGAGTGTACCTACCTAGGTGCAAGGCGTCTGGGCCAGGATAGTCTGGCCTCATCCGTGTGTCCGTCCAGGCCGGTTGTGGGGAGGGAGGGGAGTCAGGTGCTGCGCGTCTGTCCGTGTGCGCATGTCCTGGGGTATTTATATCTCTGGGCGAGAGGAAGTTCTGGGCCTCTGTGTGTGCGTGTGTGTGCGCGCACATGTGTGTGTGTGTGTATGTGTGTGTGTCCCGGACACCTGGGTTCTGTGTGTATGTGTATGTCCTGGATGCTGGATTTTGTGTGTGTGTGTATGCATGCATATGTGTGCACGTGTGTGTAGTGGATGTCTGGGTTCTGTGTGTCCGGGAGTCCAGGCTCTTTTCCCTCCCCCCAGCAAAGAACCCAGGAGCCCGGGCTCTTCCCCATCCTCCTCCCCCCAGCAAATAAGCCAGGAGTCGGGGCTCTTCCCCATCCTCCTCCCCCCAGCAAATAAGCCAGGAGTCGGGGCTCTTCCCCATCCTCCTCCCCCCAGCAAATAAGCCAGGAGTCGGGGCTCTTCCCCATCCTCCTCCCCCCAGCAAATAAGCCAGGAGTCGGGGCTCTTCCCCATCCTCCTCCCCCCAGCAAATAAGCCAGGAGTCGGGGCTCTTCCCCATCCTCCTCCCCCCAGCAAATAAGCCAGGAGTCGGGGCTCTTCCCCATCCTCCTCCCCCCAGCAAATAAGCCAGGAGTCGGGGCTCTTCCCCATCCTCCTCCCCCCAGCAAATAAGCCAGGAGTCGGGGCTCTTCCCCATCCTCCTCCCCCCAGCAAATAAGCCAGGAGTCGGGGCTCTTCCCCATCCTCCTCCCCCCAGCAAATAAGCCAGGAGTCGGGGCTCTTCCCCATCCTCCTCCCCCCAGCAAATAAGCCAGGAGTCGGGGCTCTTCCCCATCCTCCTCCCCCCAGCAAATAAGCCAGGAGTCGGGGCTCTTCCCCATCCTCCTCCCCCCAGCAAATAAGCCAGGAGTCGGGGCTCTTCCCCATCCTCCTCCCCCCAGCAAATAAGCCAGGAGTCGGGGCTCTTCCTCATCCTCCTCCCCCCAGGAAAGAACTGAGGAGTCCGGGCTCCTCCTCGCCTCCCCAAAGCAGAGAACCCAGGAGTCCCAGCTCCTTTCCAACCCCACCAAGGAAGGGACTGAGGAGTCCAGGCTGCTTACCAAGGCGGTGCTGGCGCCTCACTGTGCCCGCCCTCCCGACCTCTGCCCCGGCTTCCCCGCCCTGATCCTGGCCCCGATCCTGGGCCTGATTCGCCCGTGCCCTTGCAGGGGAGTGAACAGGAGCCCTGAGTCCTGGGTTCTTTGCCTGGTGGGGTGGGCAGTGCCTCTATGGGAAAATCGAGGCACAGGGACCAGGGCTGTGGATACACTACACTACACTTACCAAATAACATTGGCTTTTTTTTTGACAGCTAATGCAGGGGGCGGGGCATCATCTGGACCCATCCCCTCTCACCAGGGGGGCCGCTTCCCCAGAGTCCCTTGGTGGGGAGGAGAAAGGTGTCCAGACTGGAGCTACAGGGAACAGGTAAACTGAGGCACACAAGGTTATGGGGGTGGGAATCATGTCACAGCCTCCTGTCCACCACCCCACCCCGGCCTGCTGGTGCCCCTCACTCTTGACCTGCAGCCCCCTGCACCCCGCCACCATGCTAAGGCCCCTCATTCCTGACCCACACCCCCTGCCACTGCCCCCCCCATTCTGAGTATACAGGTTTCTTCCCCTGCCATACACAACAGGGCCTGGCACAGAGCAGGGCCTCACCCCTCCCTGCCATGCCCAGACCTGCCTGGGATGGGAGGAGTCACGTAGCATCCCCTGCACCCTCCCCAGTCCTAGGGCCCTGGTCGTGTCTGGGCCTGGCTGAGGGCAGGGCTGGCTCCGAGTAGCCAGAGAAAGCCCAGAGCCGTTGTTCTGGCACTTGTCATCAGTAGGTTCCTGAACATTGCCAGGTAGGCCAGAAGCAGTCAGATGCTCCCCCCAGTTAGCTTGGGGGGCTGCTGTGGCCCCCAGAAGCCTGTACAGGCCCCCAGGCTGTGATTGGAGGGCTCCAGGCACTACAGATTCTCCAGGTCTTGATGGTTCCCCAACCTTGGTGTCACGAACCAGGCCTGTATGTTGCATCAGGGTGACCCGGGGAGTTGCCACCCGGACCTTTCCTGTAAGCCTGGGGGCGGGGGGGTGGCAGAGGG